ACATTTTTCGGCAGTGCAGGAAATAAGGGGGTGGGGAGTTCCTTGTTTAAGTGACTCCCCAGGGCTTTTTTGGTGCTGTCTATTTCCAAGGCTGTAGAAACATCTGAAGTGGGGTAACATCTTCAAATACGTGCAGTTTTGTCAGACATATTCAGACATTTTTCCTTGTTCAGCTGACAAAACTATGTTGCCATCTTGACTGGCTTCTTGTAGTCTGAACAGTGTATGTAGTGGTATCAGTCTCTTAAGTTTTCCTCTAGCTGATTTTAGACCTGAAGTCAGCTGCTTGAAATCCACAAATTTTCTCAGCATTGGACATGTTTTTGCTAAAGAGGAGTCTCCTCCTGCCCACACCCCCTCCCACCCCACCCTGAGTGCTTGCGCTGTCTCTCAGCTCCCCCACCCTCCCTTAGGACAGGAAAAATGAAGTATCTACCCATCCCGAGCAGATTATGTTGCTGTTCGCGGGGAGGACAGTGTGCATCCCATACACTGAGAGGGAAGGCAAGCGACCGAAGGGCGGTTATTGTTCGACTTGAGCCAAGGAGCTGAATAGAGAGGCTTGCGCTTGACGGGCTTTGGCTCTGGCTTTTCTGCATTCCAAACCCTCTGAGGCAGAGAAAACAGCGCGCGGGAGAGGAGCGTGCAGAGGCTACGCTGACTTTCTGGTTGGCATGGTGGCAGGATCATGGTAGAGGTATTAGGATTACCACAGAATGCAGTTCACAGGTGAGATCCCTCCTGACGTGGTCCATGAAGCAGGGGACTGTATTGCTGCAGTATTTCCAGTGAGGTGGGATTGGGTAGGAGGCACACAGGTATTTTGCTGGAAATTTAAAGTGACTAGATGTAAAACAACTAGAAGCTTTCAGGGTTTTCTTTTCCATGTTGCATGCATATATCAACTCTTTTATTTCAGTTTTATACACAGATTTTTTAAGAGATATTTACATGAATTTAATATGAGGAATGGAAAAATAGATTATTGGTACTTTTCTGCTTGCTAGTACAGAAATTACATGTTAGTATTCAAACATCACGTATATGCGAAGATGAGAAAAAAGTTTTTGTAATGGCTTTCAAAGGTAAAAATCTAGTTTATTGCTGTTAAATCATTAGGCTTACTTTTCTTCTTCTCCCTTACAGCTTTTACTTACCTAACATAAGTCAGTATCTTTTTTCATTTAAAATTTGATTTCTGAATAAGGCCAGACATCATTCTTCAAGGGCACAGTGTAGGAATATTTTTCAGTGTTTACTTGTGGCTGGCATTGCGTGATGTTTTAAGCATATAATATTGCCAACCTTGCTTCCTGTCCTCCAGCGAGTGATGATAAATCAAAGCAGTTCAGGGAATCCTACAGGTTGCTCATAAAAACAGGAGGATTTGTTTTCTTTTCAATGTAAAGGCACTGCCTTAATAATGCTGCTTGCTTTTCTAGCAGCTTTTGTCTTAAAATGTATTGTTAAGTGACAGCAAGCTGGAAAGCATTTAAATTTCATGCCTTTTGATACTGTTAGAACATTTTTCAGTAGCTACAAAAGCAATAAATGCTGTCTAAGGAAACCAGGAATGGAATCTCCTGAGTTAAATTTTTCTACCTTGGAAACATCCTTTAATAGGTACTGATTATGAAGTCCTCTTAGTCATTTTCCTCCTCATATGTAGACCAGGGAGAATACTAATTTGCTAACTTGGAGAGACTGTTTTTGTCAGCCTGAACCAATAAGGTTGTTCTGCAGCTGATTTTGAATTACATGATCAGAAAATGAAAACCCTCTGCCTTAGATTTTGACAAATATGTTTCTTTCAAAAACAAGCAAACTTTTGGCAAACTAATCAGAAAAGCTCAAGTCAACACAGTCCCAGTCCCTTCCAAGTTTCATTTAGGTGATTTTGGGGTGGTTACCAGGAGGTACCCTTTAGAATTTCCTGTCTCTTTCTGGGGCTCTTTCATACAATTAACATGTTAATAGGGTAGTGAATTAAAAATACAATACTGGGGAGTTCTGGAATGCAAATGTGAGCAGCAACTTACATTCCTGCAAATTCTTCGTGTTGTGCCTAGCTTTATCTGATACTCTGTGGGTGCTCTCGCTCTTTCTCTCTCTACAGCCTGTGGGGAGGGGAGAACAGTGTAATTGTAACAAATACTTGAGGTGGCTTCTGTCAGAAAGATCTGTCATGGCTCTTTAAAGCTCATGGGAACAGATCAGCTTCAGTTGTATATAAGCAGGAGAAAGGGGCATTCTGGTATTATGAGTCTTGACCTGCTCCTTGCCGTTTTCTGGTATCTGGGACTAAGTATTGCACCAGCTATGTAATACTGGAAGTCAAAGAATTCTGTGATGCAGCATAATACAGGGTATGGATGGCATTTGTAAATGGCTCGTTGGCATCAAGAGACGGATTCATTTTCCAGCCTGTAGAGGTACGTACCTTTTCAAAGCTTTACTTCTCCACAAAGGGAATACTTCCTTTTATCTAGATTTCTTGGCTAATTGGCATCAGACAGCACAAATGTTTTTTAGGAGAGCTAATAATGGTGGGATTTGAAACTGGGCCAATGGCAGAAGGGAGACCTAATGATCCCCTTTCATTTAATTTTCTACCTGTATGGGTGACTGCTTCTAGTAAGGGAGAGGGAGATCTGCAGAAGTCAGCAAGCAAATGATGCAACTGCTTACAGTTTCAACAGTATCGTCTCCACATGTTAAATGCTTAACAAACTTCACCTATATATTATGAATTTAATGGGAAACTGCCATAATTGTCATGGTAAACATAACTGCAAAAATTGGTTTGCAGAGTTGTGTAATAGCTGGTTATCTGCGCAGATGATGGCAGCCACGAATAGCTATGATGAGTCTGTATAGAGTTTCCGAGAACAGTGCCGATCCTTACTCAGGCAGTGGATCTGCTATGATGACACACAGCGTTGCATTTTTTTCTTCTTGTGCACCTGCAGCGTGCTTGGCGGGGTCTTTAGGAGGGCAATGTTGTGATGTGGATGCCTGCCAGAGAAGTGAAACAGCTCTGCGGACGCATTTGCTTAAAGTAGGCCTCTGGGCAACCTTCAAGAGTGGCACCAACCACAAGCATTCAAAAATGCAAGTCTGCCTTAGAAAAGAGGAGATTGAAATTTTTTTTTCTTTTTGCATTAATTTTCCTGTTACTTTGGATCCTTTTTGGAGTAGGCTTCAGACAGATTTTCAAGCTCAGTCACACAAACTGTGAAGACCAGGTCCTTTTTCTAAAAGAAAGGCTGTAATTGTCTCCATGTTTGTTTGATTCCAGGGGTAATGGCTACAGAAAAAGTGACAAATGTACAAAATACGGCATGATTCTAATGCCAACTTTCATGCCATTCATGTTCTTAAAGCCCTGTCCTGGTACATCAGTCAAAAATGTCAGCTGTATTCTCCAGGGGGACTCTTCTCAGAGTGTCCGAGAAGAATCTAAGATACTGTGTCAGTTAGAAATTAAACCCATGTCCACAAGATGGAGGACTTGGTATGTCCTTGTGAAAATTCTCAAAACTATACAGTCTCTTACCTTGCTGTGTTTACTTGCTTCACCACTTAAATTTGGTCCCTAATTTGGAAACAGATTAAAAACCCCTCCATGTACTGCCTTTCTTGTACTGATCTCTAGTGTTTGGAAAGGCCTTGGGCTTTGGCAGTTGCCTTATTTTGATACTTACATAGAGATTAACATAGTGTTCCTATAAACGCAGGTGGAACTGAGTAGTAAGAGGAAGGGAGACCACATGATTCATAGGCAGGGGTAGGAAATCATATTGCTGGTCATAAACACTCATTCTCCACAATGTTCCTGGTTTTCTGCTGCATACCTGGTAAGTGCAAACTGCATGCTTTCGGGCTATTAGGCACTAAGAGTTTTTTGTTAGTTATTTTCTGTCTTGTTATCTGGTGTTAGAAGTGCAGGTTATGGTAAATTAGTCTTTTTTTTTTTTTTTTTTTTTGTCTGTGCCAATCAAGGAGAGTTCAACTCCCACCTGATGATGTCGGCAAGGCTGCGGTTTCTTGACATATAAAGGGAGCAAGCAGTGACCTCGGGGTGGAGTAAAGCTCACTATTGGCACAGCACTCTCAACCCTGTTCTGCAAGAATCGCTGGTATTTAGTTTGTGCTGGAAACAAGCAAGTTGAACTTGTTGTGGGAGTGCTACATACTAAACCTTATAGGAAGAGAGTAAATAATGCTTAAATTGATGGGATGGTGTGGCAATCCCTACATGATCTGACCAGAAGCTTATTTTGTTGTATTGTCAGTAGAGTATCATATATTGATCACGTTGAATCGCTTCCCAAAATACTCTGAAGGTGTCTGTGTGGGTTTTACACATTCCGATGGCACCAGAATGTTGCAGACAGGATGATGTTTAATTCTCTCTCATCTGAAACTGCTTTTCTCAAAATTGTAGTTCTCTATTATCTATGAAATCATGCCTAGTCATAGGAGGCAAAAAAAGTCCTGAACTAACCACCACCCAAACCCCAGCCCTCACTAAGTTGTTCTCTGGTTTGTTTGCTTGTTGGAGATGTCATCCCGATAACTTAGTCTGAGAAGTCATTCCTAGCTGTTTCCCTGCTCCGGCTGAAAGTATATGGTCAAGAAAAAATAGTAGGTCAGAATGTAATAGTAGAGACCAACTTCATGTTGGTACTATTCCCACAAAACTGCCTTATTCAGTTATTTTCACTTGCGTTTTTTTCTGAAATTGGGCAAAATTCAGCACTTGTGAAGACATGAGTTGTGCAGACTATGTGGCCTGCAGGGTGAGCAAGAAAAACTGTTTTCTTTTTCCATGCCTGACTGCAGCATTCGCAGGGAAGTGCTCTGCTCTCCCAGTAGCAATTTGGAGGACAACTCAGTGCCAGGTGTCCCCTTTTCCCAAAAACCTGCCTGCTTGGTTTCTCTTTCTGACAATAACAGAATCACAGAATCGTCTAGGTTGGAAAAGACCTTGAAGATCATCCAGTCCAACCATTAACCTAACATTGACAGTTCCCAACTACACCAGATCCCTCAGTGCTATGTTGACCCTACTCTTAAACATCTCCAGGGATGAGGACTCCACCACCTCCCTGGGCAGCCCATTCCAATGCCTAACAACCCGTCCTGTAAAGAAATGCTTCCTGATATCTAGTCTAAAACTTCCCTGGTCCTATCGCTTATTACTTTGTTAAAGAGACTCATCCCCAGCTCTCTGCACCCTCCTTTCAGGTAGTTGTAGAGCACAATGAGGTCTTCCCTCAGCCTCCACTTCTCCAGACTAAACCCCCCCAGTTCCCTCAGCTGCTCCCCATCAGACCTGTGCTCCAGACCCTGCACCAGCTTCACTGCCCTTCTCTAGACACACTCGAGTCATTCAATGTCTTTTTTGTAGTGAGGGGCCCAAAACTGAACACAGTCATCGAGGTGCAGCCTCACCAGTGCCAAGTACAAAGGTAAGATCCCTTCCCTGTCCCTGCTGGCCACGCTATTGCTGACACAAGCCAGGATGTCATTGGCCTTCTTGTCCCCCTGGGCACACTGCTGGCTCATGTTCAGCCGGCTGGCCATCATCTCCCCCAGGTCCCTCTCTGACTGGCAGCTCTCCAGCCACTCCTCCCCAAGCCTGTAGCGCTGCTGGGGGTTGTTGTGGCCCAAGGGCAGCCCCCAGCATTTGGCCTTATTGAAACTCCTCCAGTTGGCCTCAGCCCATCGCTCCAGCCTGTCCCCATCTCTCTGCAGAGCCTCCCTACCCTCGAGCAGATCCACACTCCCACCCAACTTGGCATCATCTGCAAACTGACTGAGGGTGCTTCATAGCATGTCAGCATCTTAGAGCGCAAAGGATCGAGCAGTTGAGTCCTCAAGGACAGTAATAACCTGTCAGGTTGCCGACCCTCTATAATGTATCTGTCCCTATCAGTTACACTACAAGCACTGAGAATAATTATTTAAAAGATACTTTTTCCATGGTGTTCCAATATAATTTCTGATAAATCCATCATATATTAAATAAGTGCCTCTCCTTGTATGTCTTTCTAATAAAGCTACTTTATAATGATTTAGAACAGATAAAATCTGAAGGGCCTTTGAGATCATCTGTAAAATAGCAGTAGTGTTGTACCTAAACTGCTTGAGCAAGGCTTGTACCTTTAGAAACAGGGCAGGGAGGAGCAGGTGCTTCAGCTTACTGCCTGCCTGCCTGCAGTTACTGTTTTCTTCTTAATACCTGGGAGAACTGAAAGTATGCTTGGAAAGGTTGATTTTTCTGGTGCTACTACTAGGTAATGCAGGCCTGGGGGATAGAAGGAAGGAAGCTGTGCTCCTTTTCTGGTCAGCAAATATTTGTATTTGGGTTTTGCTATTTTCCTTCCCATAGTTCTACACTATTTTCCTTCCAGTAGCTCCACAAAAACAGTGTTCTTTCTTGTTAACTTTTGTCTTAGTCACGTTTAACCTGTACTTATGTTTGAGGTTTACATTTCTTGGAAATTCTGTTCAGAAAAACAGTGTGATACTGATATCACTTGACACACCGGTGATTTAAGTCCTCACAGTATCAAGGTTCAAAAAAATCACTCCCTATTCTTCTTTCATACTACTTTAAAAGATGGAAGAGCTTTTGGATTTCTGGGCTGGATCTTCAGACGTGTGAAGCAGGTCATATAACTGGGCTTAGCAGGTGGGGGATCAGACCCCGAACACTGGTGATTTTTTTTTTCCATGTTCTTTGTGCATTCTTGAAGGTTTGGCACCTTTTGGGGCTTCCTAACTTTTCTTTTCTAGAGCTAAATAACTATAGAACTAACATAACATTTCTAGCAAAGATGCTAGCTCAGATATCCTTGGTTAAATTGAAGTGCTTGAGACTCGATTCATGCCAAGCTGTCAGTTTCACGGTGTTACTGAGCAAGGGCTTCCATATCAATCTTCATGCTTGGTACATCTGGTAAAGTGTGGGTTTGTTTTGTTTTTACAGCTTCATGTTTTCAGGCTCTTTGTTTTGAACACCCAGTGTTTTTCGTCAGAGGGAAGGAATATAGAAGGTATTCTTCATTAACACATTATTGGGTAAAAAGTCATCATGTGAATACCAGCATCAGAAATTAAGTAGTCTTTACACACTGCTTGTTAAATATATAGTTGGATGTATTCATACTTCAATACAAGATGACTGTTTACATGAGGCATATGGCTCACAGTTTGGAAAGGCACACCAGAGTGTATGACTCTGTAAATAATGTCTTGGCCCTAATTTGGAATTAAATTAGCTTAATGTTTTTAGAGTACTCATTAATAGATACTTAAAATCTACCATACTGCTAGCAGCACAACTTTGCTGAATCCCTTGGCTGTGCTGAGGATACCTGAAATTGGTTTGAGTGCAAAAATGTAATTAAATTGGTGTGGAAAT